GGAGGGGTTTCTTTTTCCATAGAGATGCTTCCTTTTGTTTGTGTTAAGGTTTAAAGGGATTTTTTAAAATGTTTTTCCTTTCATTAATACTGCCATTTAGTTGTGTAAATGTGCATATTAGAAGTGTGTAGAGGTTTTCTCTGTGTAGAGTTTTAGATCCCTCAGTTGAGTGAGTGGTACTGGCTGGGCAATTGGAGGGAAATTGATGGCCCTGTTTAAAGCCAGTCTCTACCAGATTCAGGGGAGAGAGGAGAGGTGAGCTGTGTTACCAGAGCCATGTTATGTTGAGTTTTGTTAATTGAATTGAGTTGGGGGGAAGTTTTGTTAAGTTATACATTAAATTAAGTTCACTGTAAATAAATTGCTCACCTCTGGAAATCTGAAATGTCTGCGTAGTCTGCTTCTCTACCACCTTCCTTGACGTTTGTGTCTGACTACTTCACATGCATATCTGAAATGTTCTGTTTGCAGTGTTGTAAGAGTGCAATGGAACAAAAGATACAGACAAAAAATAATTTATTCACTGACACAAAGTTGAATCTGTGAGAAGGTTGAAAAAAGCTGCAGAAAGACAGAAAGAAAAGAACAAGAAAGAAAAAGAAGTCCAGAAAGGGGACAGGACATGATTGTTGAGCTTAGGAATAATTAATGGAAGTAGGATATATTAAGACTCTAATACTGTGCTGAATCTCAAATGTGAGCAATGACTGGGTGGAGGACAAGAGGAAGTAGATATAATTTGCTCCCCCGACTTACTGGCAGAGACACAAAACCAAAAAAAGCAGGAAACATTTCTCAAATGGACATAAGTACTAAAAAAATATGTGTATGTGTGTATGTATCAGAAAAGACTAGTTTCTTAGTTTCTTGGTACTGCATTATTATTATTATTATTATTATTATTATTATTATTATTATTAGTAGTAGTAGTAGTAGTAGTAGTAGTAGTAGTCGTCGTATTTCTGATCTTATTTTCTGCTGCTGGTGCTTTTTCCTTCTTAAAGCGATACAAGCTGCTCCAACCTCCTATTTTTCACATTAGTTTTGGGAAATGTTTGTCTTCTATGCATTAACCTAAAACAGAGAAAGTAATAAAATCATTCCATCAAATAAATAAAATAAAATATTGGTTCAGTTAACACTGTCATGCCACCTCGTCGACACCAGGGGGCAGATGAAACTAACGCATGAAGGAGGCATAAGGTTAAGCAGCCCACTCGAGTCTGCCAGACACACTAATAGAAAGCCGCACAGCTGATGGATGAAAGGCACTTCAGTCGGGTTCAGTTTATGTATCAAACCCAAGAATGTTGAAACTTTAAAACAATCTCACTGCCTGCAAATTTCACACTTGAGGAAATCATGGAAACAGCAGGATTTGCAGATGCCATGTTCTATTAGTCAAACAAGGTTAAAAAGGAAAGTAAATTTATCAATTTGTTGTCTAAAGTAGTGACCAGTCTCACTGTGTTCCTATTATGTGGAAATATGACATAATGGAAGATGAAGCCCTGAGTGAACATGTCTTGTATCCCAGAATGCTCGATCATCATATCAGCGTTTTGTGTCCTGCATTAAATTAGTCGTAGATATCTGAGTGTGTTCTCAGTGGTTGTGTTTTATTGGTGTGTGGGTGGAAAAAATGTGGATGGAAAACTGAAAGAAAGATCAAAACCACCCCCTGGGGGATTACACAAAGTATTAATGTAATAAGGTTTGTATGTGTGTGTCTATAAATAAAGATATAAAGATAAACTAAACAATGACCTTATAATCAAGCTCTGGTCGGAGAGGTAATGGAGCAGTTTTTCGCTAAGAATTCAGCACCACAGATGGACAGAAAGACAGACGGAGCTCAGTAAGACAGGAAAGTTAGAACATTAGCAGTTGAGTCTTTGTTTCGCTGCAATCACGTGTCTCTGTTTTATTAATGGGTGTCAAAGCGAGTCAGCTGCAACAATTAAAGAGAATACTGAAGATTAACAGGTCACTGGAAGCAAAGGTGAAAGCTGGCTATAGATTTATGTCAGAGCTATAAATAACATCAGGTCATCTAAAGCACAGTCAACCATCCACCGTCTAATATCTGGCATATTAATTAACCTTTTTATAGGTTTATGTATTTATCTTTGTCTTCCTTACCCAATATGATTATGGAGTGTACACATAACACAGACTCTAGCTGTTTAAATCATAAACCCGTGAACAGAAAAAAGAAACCCTATGGGGTCTTTCATCATCCCTACAGGACTGATGGAAACGGAAACTCCCCTCCTCCACACACATGAATGTAAAGATGCACTCAGGCTATTAACTCGGGCTGCGTGTTCGGGTATAAATCAGCTCAAAGTACATCAGGGAAATATGTCCTGCCTCTTGGCCTAATAGATATTACCTCATACAGCATAAAAGCACTTATGTCAATCAAAACGACTAGCTATACGAAAACATATCGGTAATATTGTGAATGAATGTCACGACTTTTCAAGGCCACTAAATCAAGAGTAATTAAAATTGCCCCAAAGCGTCACTAAAGACAAGAGACAATAACCCTGCAGGCAGGAGGAACCACTAGTGGGCAATATGAATGGAATATTGGTTATATGGGTGAGTTGATGTTTAATACAATCAGTGAGTAAACACCATCAGTTCCTCCCACTGCTGTCCTTGGCTGACTGAACCCAGCCTACTGAGACGTCCAGAGAGAAAATTATACTGATATATGTCTGGGGCATCAAATCATCCACTGTGCATCATTTAGTGTTTAGAGCGCTGCAGAGAGGGAGACCGATGAACTCACGAGGAAAATGTGTGGCAAAAAAGTCGAGAGGGCCAAATAATAGAGGGGAAGGCAGCAAAGTGAGCAAGGCGACGTGAGGAGAAACAAACCAGGTACAAGGGCTAAATGGTACTGATTCAGAGAAATGTTTGCACTTGTCCCACTCTCTGATGAATTACAAGTCAAGGCCTTTTGCTCTCTCTCTCCCCTCCTTGCTGCTTTTATAAATAGGCCACTTTGCTTTCTCAGTAATCCACAGAGAGCACAAGATTCACTTAAGGAGAAAAGCGGGACACGAAGCCATTTAGGTGGTGAGGGTTGATACACCTTATGTAATGGACATGAGAGCAGATGCTCGATGTATACGCTCTGTTACAGGTTTTTCCTTTTTGTTTTCTTTCTCACACAAAATGATGTCACAGCTGATTTCACTATCGTTTCTGTGACAGCTGGTTAAAGGACACACGGTGTGAATCCACATGAGAAAAACACAACAGTAGCTGCATGTTAGCATAAATATATTCTTATCAATGAGACCAGTATAATTCATAATAACTTTATAATATGCATTTATTTAAATAATGAAAGTATCTCTGAATAGATATTTTCTGTTTTTAGTTTATGTTCATAGGACATGTTAAGGACAGACATTCAAATCCAGATTTCTTTGGGTGTAATAATATACAGCTTGATTCTTAGTTCCTTCTTTTGCATACGATAGCAGATAAAACAATCCATATAGTGAGCAGACAGCTGTAAGTATAGACAACAATACAGTCACTGAGCTGACGATTATCTTATATTTCATTCACACGTTTTTGCCTGTCAGTTGAAGAAGAAGAGCAGAGCGAGTGGTTTTCTGAGAGTAACTTGAGACGGGATTTATTTGACCAAAGTCTGCGCGTGTTTGCATCAAACCTCAGTCCATCCACTTCTGAGACTCAAAGCAGCAAATTCTGACATTCAAATACAAAACAGAGTGAAAAACAACAGGATTTTATCATTTCTGACAAAGCAAATTAGTTTCATGGATTTTCTATTACGCAGAAACCTACACATGGCAGAGTCTGGTTCTAAAGCATTAGGTACTTGACAACATAATTAAAGCAGCTCCAACTCTTAGATACATTTACATGGCTACAGTTGTGTAAACCCCACAATCGGCAGGTTTAGGTCTGCTGTGGCAGCGAAGTCACAGAAATGCGTCTGCCAGACATGTCAGAAGATTACATCTCACGGTAAGCATCTGTGTACACTGTTTTAAAATGCCCAGTGTTTGTATGAATGTGTGTCTGTGTACAAGTCCACTCGTGTTGTGCAGTACAGCAAAGACGTGTTACCCATGACTTAGATCCTGATGTGCCACGCTGTTGGTTTCTCTGAGAGTTTGTTGTGTGGACAAAGTGTCATTGCAGGTGTTGTATGCTTGTTGTGTCCAGCCTAAGCCTAAAGTGACACATATACGTAGGAGTTCCTGTACACAGGAGCAGCTCATAGTGATGCAAATACACATAAGAAAAATACAAGGGAGAAAATTGCGGCAGTGTTGTCTCACTTGAATGATCATACTTCCTTATATTTTAAGTCTTCAGTAACTTGCCTTTGCAGACACTGTAGCTTATCGCACTTATGGACATCAACACAACGGAGTGTTTCCTTTCAGTTTGCTTTGTTTAATATACTATGTGCATGTGTTTAATATATGCAGCACATAGGCTGTAAACACCGTGCTAACACTGAGCACCATCGTCATTCTGGAAACAAGCGGAGCAGCATCTGAGAACAGTGACGTCAGCTTGTGTGTTTCTGAAAGCTCCAAGTTTCTCTCACAGTCTCTTTGTGTCCGAGTCTATTTCTCTCTCATAAGCTCTCTCACCCACAAAATATTACACACCGAGGTTGATGGACCTATATGTTAGAGATGGCAGCACTTAGACAGATCCTTGGAGCATTACAAATACACTTGGGTGAGCAAAACCTCTGACTGATCAGCTGTGAATCTCATCCACTGAGCTGGCAGCAGACGGTGTGCTTTCATGATACATAGATACCAGGTCGTGACTGCAACAGACTATAACAAATAGAAAAGTAAAGAGTTTAGGATGTTGTTAGCATCCACAGGGTGGATCATAGTTTGATATCACTTTCATCTCCTATACAGGAGGTAGCTAAGCTGCCACATGAACACACTACCCTCTTCCATGTATGTAATTAAGTAAGTTTTCCTTTGTTTATTGTCAAATATTATGTATATTAATGCATGCAACAATGATTACTTTTGAGGACATGCAGCTTTGCAAAATCAGAACTGCAAAAGTTTTGGTTAGTTAAATATGTTGGGCCAGGGGAAGGATTTCTGAAATTGCATGGTCTTTGATTGATGTCTTTTACAAACCAGGATACAATTTAGCAGGTGGTGGCACATAACAACTTTCAGAGGAAAACAAATGTTCCCTTTTCATGTCTGCCTTAGAGGATGGAGGCCATTAAAGGCTAACGCTGTGAAGCAGCTTGATTAGATCAGATTACTCTGTTTTAACAGCTAAAGACGTCGTAAGCAGACTTGCAGTAAACTCAAACGCTGGCACTAAAGCTGAAGCTTAAAAATGACATATATACATTTCAGTTGTTCATGAGACCTAAGCTGTGTTGATATATGCAACAGAATGTCAGCAATTTGCCCACAAAATCATTGTATCTATTCCTACACACGTGGAATGCTTTGAAGTCAAGAACAGCAACGTTTATTCTGGGCAGTGATGTCAAGCTGAACACGTTTAACTGCTAAAGTTACAGCAAAGAGGCTGGAAACTCACTCAGAACACTGAAAGACTATTTCAGTCAACATTAAGGCCATGAAAATATGTAATAAGACCACGTTGATCATAAATTAATTATATTAAAAACACTCATTAGTAGAATAGTTAAGACATTCACTCTGTTCAGTGTTCTGCTGTTCACCTGCTAATCTGCACTAATTAGAGGCAAGAAAAGGCTTCGAGTGGAGAGAGTCATGCACCCTGCATAGACATCATTTTGAACTTCATCAAGAAGAAATGGCAGGAAAAGAAAGTGTTGTGCTATAGCAGTACAGAATTACAGCAAAGCACTCGTTTAGGCTGTTGGTATCTGCCTGTCTCTGCTAGCTTGTACTAGACAAGATGTAGCAAGTGAACATGGCCACCAGCATATTGGTGCTGCGCTCTGGTTCTTTGTTTCTGAACTCGGTGTTCCCATGAGAGAACAGCTGTGATCTGGTTGAAATGATCGTTCTGTGTATCTGGACCTTGGCAGTTAGAGCAGCAGATTAAAGCTGCCCATGAATGGCCTGTTTTATAAGTTATGACACGTCTGTAATATTGTTGGAATATTGTTATCATGCATCCTTTGTGCAGCAATTAGAGAAAGAAGATAAAAAAAATTAGTGGTCCTTTTATATTGTTATTATTGATTATTATGTTTAGGCTACAATTTTGCTACTGTTGGAGGCAGGATAACTACGTTCACAGGTAAGACTAACTCCATGCAAACACTAACAATGTCGTGAATACGACAGCTGACAGTTCTATAGTATGAACATGATACTGACCCTTTCTCCACGTGAACCTCACTGATCTGCTCTGTACTCCTGTACTGGGCCCCATACATTTATCAGTATGCGGACCTTTATTCCCACTACAGTTATTGTAGATCCCAGCAGAAGTAAACCATCCGAGCTCGCGTTATACATCTGTGCGCATCTTGGTGATGTTTACATAGTTAGTGTTGGCCAGGGTGCAGTTTCCTGTTTTCCTGGCCTCTGATCGGAAGTCCTCCATACTGTGGTTCACTGCCTCTTGGATTTCCACATAGTCAGACTTACTGAGAGTGGATCCGCTGCCGCTCCGACCGCTCTTCTTCAGCTCGTCAGCTGAGCTGGCTTTAGGCACACTCGGGATATTCAGGTACTGCGCCTGCTCCTCACCTTCTGTCTCTCTGTGGTAGAAGTAGTTGAAGTTTGATACAATGACAGGTACAGGCAGTGCAATAGTCAGCACACCGGCAATTGCACAGAGAGACCCCACAATCTTCCCCCCAATAGTTGTTGGGACCATGTCGCCGTAGCCTACGGTTGTCATGGAAACCACTGCCCACCAAAAGGCCTCGGGGATGCTGCTGAACTGAGAAGCTTGCTCGTCTGCTTCTGCAAAGTAGACCGCACTGGAGAAGAGGATGACACCAATGAACAGGAAGAAGATGAGGAGGCCCAGCTCACGCATGCTGGCCTTCAGTGTCTGCCCTAAGATCTGGAGTCCCTTGGAATGACGCGAGAGTTTGAAGATACGAAACACCCTAACTAGACGGATGACGCGGAGAATAGCCAAAGACATGGCTTGCTGGCCTGCCTGGCCATCCTCTGGCCGCTCTGCTAGTTCTGTGCCGAGGGTGATGAAGTACGGGATGATTGCCACAATATCAATGATGTTCATGATGTTGCCAAAAAATCCAGTTTTGCTGGGACAGGCGAAGAACCTAACTAGGAACTCAAAAGAGAACCAGATGATGCAAAGCGTCTCAACAATGAAGAAAGGATCTGTAAAATAAAAGCTTGCAGATGGAGTGGTGGTGTTGTATGAGGACTGGAGTGAGTTATACATCTCATCTTCGTTTCGGTTAAGTGGCAGTGTCTCCAGACAGAAACTGACAATAGAGATAAGAATCACCATGACAGAGATTATGGCAATGATGCGAGCTGGTCCGGAGCTCTCTGGATATTCAAACAGAAGCCACACTTGTCTCTGGAACTCGTTTTCTGGCAGAGGCCGCTCCTCTTCCCTTATAAAACCTTCATCCTCCCTGAAGATTTCCATAGCCTCTTCACCCAATTCATAAAACCGGATCTCCTCAGAAAAAATGTCGAGAGTCACGTTAACAGGCCGGCGCAGTCTCCCTCCAGACTGGTAATAATACAGAATAGCGTCAAAACTCGGTCGATTCCGATCAAAGAAGTATTCATTCCGGAGCGGATCAAAATACCTCATCCTCTTTTTAGGATCACCCAGCAGCGTCTCTGGAAACTGGGAAAGTGTCTTCAGCTGTGTCTCAAAGCGCAAGCCTGAGATGTTGATGACAACCCTCTCGCAGCATTCATGATCTGGATCCGAGTCGTAGCGGTCATGAGGCTGACCTGGATGTGCTGCTGCTTCATCCGCAGGGTCGCTGGTAGCGACCGTCATGATGGAAGAAGATGGGACCTGCAGCTTTCAGACCGGGCGGGGCCACGCTGGGCCACAAGTAGGTAAAGGCTCCACACACTTGTACAGTCAGGCAGATTTGCCTGCTAAAAGGAACAGACAGAAAGCAGAGGTAGCTTTAATATTAATGTGATCAGCACATGCTTCACGCGCTACTTTTTATGGGACTTTAAACAAATAACTTGTTCAGAAACTTGTATTCACTGGCAAACATTTATGATCCACTGATTTTGTCAATTTTTAAACCAAACATTTTTCAGCTGCTGTTATTTCCCAGAAATGCCAGAAATGTTACTTCAAAGCCTTGAAAGCAGAGCATTTGAAAATAACAAGTTGGTGGGGGCTGAACCATTTGCACTGGCTCCATTGTGTCTGTGTATTAGGTTATAAGTTCTCCCTCATATGAGCACACTGCAGGATCAATATGCAGGCCAGTAATACAGTATCCACTCTCACAGGGTGCAATTACAACCAACAAATCTGATTATGAGCTCAGTGCTCTACAGTCTCTGAGATGAGTTTCCTCTATAGATCTGGTGTTACCAGCATTTCCTACCAATGCTGAAAAAAAACTTACTTAAATTAATAAACTTCGTACTTTTTTCAGGAGAGAAGATTTTGGGAGATTTGTCAGTTCAAGTGTTTGACATAACACACTTCACATCTGTTCATTAGCAGCTGCACAAAAGCAACGGTGGTGGTGCACAAGATAAAAAACAAAACTTTTTTCAGCTTTTGATTTTTAAAATAAGGTCTGAAAAAAATAAATCAATCTAAAGCCCCTACCTGCTATTCACAGGCACGTATTGGGCTTGTTTAAAGTCCTCTGTCCTCTGCTGGTAAACCTTAAGCAGTCCAGGAGTGCCCGGTCCTGAGTCACTCCCCTCGGTCCAAGCAGCTCCTTCCGGTCGCTCATATATCATCCGAAGCTCTGGCGCTGCAGCAAGGCGGCAGTGGGAATGGGAGAGGGGACAAGGTGTGAGGATGCAGGAGTTACCTCCATCGCTTCAGTGACCAGCGGGCACATGCCGAGATGCAGCTACAGGCTGAAGCTGGTCGGGGACGACGGTGGGGGCAAGTGGTTTGCACTTAAACACACTTAAAATCCTGACATTAGTTAAATTTAACAAGACACTCGCCCAAAACAAAAACAACCACAGCCTTGTTGCCTGGCATCAGTGGACTTACTGAAGAAAAGATACTGTGAAAGAAATAACGCGGAATCACCTGTTTGATTCCCAAGTTGTTTAAAAAATGTTACTTTTTAATTATTTCAACGTAAATATCTCCATCTTTTTTTCCGGATGGGGAATATCCGTATGACTACACCAGTGAGGCACATCACTAAGAAACAGAATCACAACTCCATGGATGAAACCAACCCTCTGATGGCGAAATAAACTATTGCTAATAAATTTGAGTCCAAGCAGCCAAGTTCATGCATTTCAGACATTAAATGGAAATGTTGTAGTTGACTGCAAGCGCGTGTTAGTTTGGAGGGGCAGGTGCCAGACATGCTCAAGCCATTTGCAGCCCTATCCTGTGCGGATCATGGAAATCCACAACAGTCTCCATGCACTAAACAAAGCAGCACAGCATTATCTGTCCGAGTACAGGCAGCATTATTTCAGATAGGCTAATGGCATGCAGGAATTCACCGCGATTGTCTTGTTGTTGTGCAGACGCATGTAGCCTATTATTGTTTTGTTAAATCCAGTTTTTCTCTTCTCAAAAGGTGTCCTGAGGTCGTTCGTCTATGTCTTCATATGTGCCCTTCTTCCCCTATTTGACTAATCAGTCCAGCGGCTGTGTCATCTCATCACGTCTAACTGTTTTTGAGCTGCCGGCTCTTCCCGTGTTTCTCATATTTCACCATAATTCACCATAGTTGAGATGCGTGGGCTGCAGTTAGGCATTGCAGCGCATACTAAAAGCTTCTTGTGCGCCTCGCCCCATCCCTTTGCGCTCCCCACCCCCCGACACTCCTGTCCTCACTCTTCCACATTAAAGAGGAAGCATCGCCCACTAGAGAGTGGAAGCGTTTCTGAGCAAAACACGCGCTGCTCAGAAGAGATTAAGGGGAAGAAGAAGAAGAAACCTTAGAAGCAGAGAATGTCCGAAAAAATTTGAGCGATAAAATGTTGTTAATAACTTTGCTTCTGTTGTGTTTCTGATGTGGATCCACATAACAAATTAGAATTGGGCTAAAGAGGCACAAAATAAATAGAAAGAATCCAAACACCGTGAACAACAGTGAGGGAGATACACGTGTATACACGTTTAAACAGCTCATGCACAAAACAACAAAATCCAGGTGTTCAAAGTTATTTTTGACAGTCTTGAATAGTTTTGTCTCTCTAATGATTATAATAGAGTTCTTTATATGTATGACATAGAAACACCCCTGTCCTGATCGCTTTGTGTGTGTGTGTGTGTGTGTGTGTGTGTTTGTGTGTGTGTGTGTGTGTGTGTGTTTATTGACACACTTCAATGTTCAAGAGCAAGAAAAAAAAAGCTAAGATTAGAGAAAGATTACACTTTAAAAGATTGCATTTTTAAAAATTATTCTATTTATTAAGGAAAAAACCTGCAAACCTGACTGGCCCTATTTAAAATAGTAATTGCCGACCTCGTTATCAACTGTGATTAAGCTCATTTGTTGAAAAGTTGAGTGCAAATTCACTTGCCATATCCAGGCCTGATTACTGCCAGACCTGCACAATCGAGAAATCATTTACATACAACATGTCTGACAAAGTGAAAGAGGCTAAAAGATCTCAGATTGAATCCCCACAATCACAATCTAAAGAAACTCAGGAACAGATGAGAAACAAAGTCACTGACATCGATCACTTTGGATGGGTTACAAAGCCATTTCCAAGGCTTTGAGACTCCAGTAAACCACTGGTGAGAGCCATTACCCACAAATGGAGATATCCTGGAACCTTCCCAGGAGTGGCCAGCACACCAAAGTTACTCCAAGAGTAAATAAATGACCTGGAGGTCACCAAAGAACTGAGAACAACATCTAAAAAACTGCAGGGTTCACTTGCATGAGTTAAGGACAGCCTTCATGTTTCAAAATTGGACAGGAACGGGGCAAAAGTGGCATCCATGGGAGAGCTACATAAAACCACTGCTGTAGAAAAAGAACACCACGGCTCGTTATGAACCCCAAGACTTTTGGTGAAATATTTTGTGAACTGACAAGACAAGAGTTGAACTTTTTGGAAGGTTTGAGTCCCAAAACCAACCCAGCATTTCATAAGAACAACATCATACCAACAGTCAGACATGGTGGTGGTAGTACGATGATCTGGGGCTCCTTTGCTGCTTCAGGACCTGGATGACTTGCTCTAATTGATGTAACCATGAATTCTGCTCTCATGCAGAAAATCCTGAAGGAGAATGTCCAGGCATCAGTTAATGCCACGAGGCTCAAGCTGACTTGGTTTATACAGTTTGGATTTAAACAGCACAGCTAGGTTTGGCCAGTTCCTCTTCCCCGAAATGAAATAATCATTTTAATAAAATCTGCAAACAGCATTTATCTACATTTATTTGATGATCTGAAGCATGATGAAGCAAGTGTGATAAATACAAAACATAAGACACCAGGAAGGGAACAAATACTTTTTTACGGTGCTGCACTGTATTTGCCGCTCTGGTGTTATCAGGTTCTGATAAATGCCCTGGAACTGCAGGAGCAAGCCCAGCTTCCAATATCCCGCGCTGGGTGTCAGTAGAACAATGATTCATCTTCCACCACCAGGTTGAAAGCAATTATCTAAACACAGATTCCCTCACGGGATGAGGAAGAGTGCACTTAGAGCATGTTATAGAATATGGGATTCAGAAAGGGTGGGTCATAGTGACGTGAGGGTTATTTAATTCTTGCAGCTGTTTTGTGTTTTTGTTTTAAGATCCAACATCAGTTTTTCATGTTAGAATTCACTGTTCCAAACCACGAATACATTTTTTAAATTGTTTTATTTCTTTAACCAAATAAAAAAATCATCAGCAAACTGAAGTCTTATTGGAATCCCACAATAATTACTGTTGTATATATATCTGTATACGTTACAACAGTCAGGGCAGGGATGAGTCATCTTTTATCACAGGTGGGAAACCTACTACACAATGATTCAGGATTTTTTTTAGGGCATACTGCAGATATTCTAAAGCACTGACGAAGCAGTCTGACACACTGAACACACTGAACTGTCAACTCTGTCAAAACTCAACACAGGCGATATACACACTAGGGCAGGGGTGTCAAACTCAAATACACAGTGGGCCAAAATTCAAAACTGGAACAAAGTCGCGGGCTAACATTAATATTTATTGAAAAAAAAAAAAATCTTCCTCCAGATATAAGAATGAATCTTTTCTTATGGACTCAAACAAGTTTTGCTGAAAAACTGAATATGGAACAAGCAAAGCTTAATACTAAACAATATATAAATTAGCTGTATAATACCAGTAGGCCAGCTCTAATAGTAATTTGGTATGGCTTTGCGGGCCAAATGTAATTAGGCTGTTGGCCAAATTTGTCCCGCGGGCCAGAGTTTGACACCTATGCACTAGGGGGACTCTGCTTCTTCTCCCATCGCAGGACGACTTTATTCTCGTAAGCAACTTCAGACATGCATCAGCTGTAACATTCAGTCACTGCTGATCTCTGGAACTGTGGATGAGGGAGAGTTTATTATTGTGTTACTGCATGTGACTAATTTATTATTGTGTTACTGCATGTGACTAATCTGCATATGTGTGGATGGAAACATCGTGTTTATATATATGTACATATGTATATATATATATATATATATATATACAAACAACAAAAAATGCAGTGGTAACTAAAGTTTTGACCTAAATCATAAATTGGGTATTTCCTAACTGGCACAGAGCTGGACTTTGAATGCCCATAGACATATAAAGTATAAACAGTTTTATATCAATGCCACACAGTTTACCCAGTTTGACAGACCCAAACCCCTTCCAAGACTTTAGATCCATCTCCAGTTCTCTTACCTTCAGGTTATGCCAAGTCTGAACATAACAGGAGCATTGATTCTGTTTTATGTTTAGCCAAGCAGGCCAGATAAAACCTGAAAGGGAAACGTTAGATTGCTTCCCAACTATTGACCCCACATGACTGCAATAACCATGCAAACATTATTTTTCACTGTATTAAATATGTACCATGTTGTGATAGCCAGTGGATTTATTGGAGCTTATGCTCCAAAATGCTACCCGGGCACTCTGTTTTTAGTTTGTTTTTTCTTTCTTTCTTTCTTTTGAAGCTGGATTAGAGGAAGTAAATATGATGGATACAGTCTTAATACTCGGGATAACATCTAAGTGCAGAGGTTACGCAGAACCCATTATTCCTGAAAGAGAAGGGCATACGAATATTTTGAAATGGCACGACTAGGATATGTGTGTGTCAGACACGCACACCTAAAATCTCCAGCCTCTCTCATGCAGAAGAACATTTAGAGGTGACTGGACGAGGTGAAGAGTGAGAACAAGTGAGGGAGAGAGGTTGTTTACCTAAGTTATGACAGATGACTGCAGGGAGGAGCTTTGTCCTGTGTGACCTCTGCTGGTGCTGCAGCAGGTGATGTCGTACTAATGCAACACTCACACGTGCAGTGATGAGCTGTTGTTATCGGTACATTCCTTAACATACTGACTGTTTCTTTGTGCTTCCAGCCCACAAAAATCCAAGTGCAAAAACACACATGTCTTTATACATGTATAAATGAATATGTTTCTGAATTTACACCTAATGAAACTGCAGTTAATGTAAATGGAGACAAAAATAAACGAATCTTTGTTGCAGAACTCGGCTCCTGTATGACAAACCAAGGATATCATCAGCTTATTCTGGCTACTCATCACTCTTTTTCCTCTCATTTTCTCCACCCACTCTTCACGTTCTCTGCATGCCCCCCCCTGGGCTCTCTCTCTATATTTAGAAAATGACCTTGCAAGTTCTATACCTGTCTGTTGAAAGCAACCGGTTTTCACGATGAGATATGTCCTTCAGA